CTCAAGGATAGACCACAGTCTGTGGCCCAAAACAAGCCTCAACAAATTTAAAGGACAGAAATTATTTCAAGCATCTTCTCTGACCACAAAGGCATGAAACTAGAAATCAACCACAGAGAGAAAAACAAGAAAAAAAAACGATTACAGGGCTTCCCTGGTGGCACAGTGGTTAAGAGTCCACCTGCCGATGCAGGGGACATGGGTTCGTGCCCCAGTCCGGGAAGATCCCACATGCCGCGGAGCAGCTGGGCCCGTGTGCCACGGCTGCTGAGCCTGCGCTCCACAACAGGAGAGGCCACAACGGTGAGAGTCCCGCGTACCGCAAAAAAAAACAAACAAAAAAAAACGATTACATGGAGACTAAACAACATGCTACTATAACACTAATGGGTCAACAATGAAATCAAAGAGGAAATTAAAAAATACCTTGAGATAAATGACAATGAAAACAAAACCATATAAAATGTATGGGATGCAACAAAAGCAGATCTAAGAGGGAAGTTCACAGAGATACAGGCCTTCCTCAAAAAAGAAGAAAAATCTCAAATAAGCAACCTAACCTACCACCTACAATAATTAGAAAAAGAAGAACAAACAAAACTTAATGTCAGAAGAAGGAAGGAAATAATAAAAATCAGAGAGGAGATAGAGATTTTTTTAAAAATCAATAAAACCAAGAGCTGATTTTCTGAAAGGATAAACAAAATTGACAAATCACTGGCCAGGATCACTAGGAAGAAAAGAGAGAAAAGCCAAATAAACAAAATAAGAAATGAAAGAGGAGACATAACAACCAATACAGCAGAAACTCAAAAAATCCTAAGGAATTACTATGAACAGTTATATGCCAATAAAATATACAACCTAGAAGAAATAGACAAGTTCCTAGAAACATACAGCCTGCCAAAACTGAATCAAGAAGAAACAGATAATTTGAACAGACCAATCACTAGAAGTAAAACAGAATTTGTAATAAAAAACAAACAAACAAAACCCTCCCTGCAAACAAAATCCAGGACCATAAGGCTTCACTGGGTAATTCTACCAAACATACATAGAAGAACTCATACCTATACTTCTACAACTCTTCCAAAGGATTGAAGAGGAGGGTCATGATTGAATAGGAGGGTCAATGACTCCTGCATTCATTCTATGAAGCCACCTACACCCTAATACCAAAACCAGACAAAGAAAATACAAGAGAAAATTACAGGCCAATATCTTTCATGAAAACAGGTGCAAAAATCCTCAACAAAATATTAGCAAACAGAATCCAACAACACATAAGAAGGATTATACAACATGATCCACTTGGATTTATTCCAAGGTCACAGGGATAGTTCAACATATGCAAAGCAATCAATGTGATACATCACATCAACAAAAGACAAAAACCAACAGATGCAGAAAAAGCATTTGATAAAATTCAACATCCATTCATGATAAAAACTCTCACCAAAATGGGTATAGAGGGAACATATCTCAACATAATAAAAGCCATTTATGACAAACCCACAGTCAATACAGCACTCAGTGGTGAAAACCTGAAAGCCTTCCTGCTAAATTCTGGAACAACACAAGGATGCCCAATCTCACCGCTTCTGTTCAAACATAATATTGGAAGTCCTAGCCACAGAAATCAGACAAGAAAAAGAAAATGTATCGAAATTGGAAGGCAAGAGGTAAAATTGTCATTGTACACAGATGACACAATACTCTATATAGAAAACCCTAAAGACTCCACACAAAAACTATTAGAACTAATGAATGCATTCAGCAAGGTAAAAGGATACAAGCTTAATGTAAAGATATCTGTTGCATTTCTTTACGCTAACAATGAAATCTCAAAAAGAAAGTTTAAAAAAAAAAATCCCATTTAAAATCACATCAGGTGACATGATACTATAGAGAATCTTAAAAATGCTACCAAAAGACTACTAGAGCTAATCAATGAATTTCATAAAGTAGCAGGATACAAAATTAATGCACAGAAATCTCTTTTACCGATTATTCCTTTATTTCTACCAAATAACAATTACAATTCAAAACCTGTGATTCCAGTGAACTAGGGGGCAATTCAGAAATTAACACAACATTGTAAATAAACTATACTTCAATAAAAAATTTTTTTAATCTCTCTATTCTATTTTTTTATATATTTATTTATTTATTTGGCTGCACCAGGTCTTAGTTGCAGCATGCGAAATCTTCGTGGCCACGTGCAGGATCTTTTTTAGTTGCGGCATGTGGGATCTTGAGCTGTGCATGTGAACTCTTAGTTTCGGCATGCGGGATCTAGTTCCCTGACCAGGGATGGAACCCGGACCCCTGCATTGGGAGCACAAAGTCTTAATCACTGGACCACCAGGGAAGTCCCTCTCTATTCTATCTGAACTTCTTTCAAACTTCACATAAACTGGCAACGGTTAAGGGAACATGAATTAGGGTAATGCACCGTATATCAGTCACTTCCACTATCACCATGTTATCTTGAATAATCCACAGCACAAATCCTCCAAATGATGAACTAGAAGTTGGACAGCCCTACTCTCTCTTTTGATTTGCATAAAATATTGAAGGCTTTTTTCTTTTAAATCCCTTTCACTGAAAACACTACATATTTGGAAAATCAATTCAGCTTTTTCATGTTTAAACCAAATTTCCCAAAGTCCTCACTGATGGAGTTACATTCTATCAGTTTATGCGTCCCAACAATTAGCAGACACTATAGTCTGCTGAAAGTTTCAGAAGGATTGTGCCCTAGAAGGGCTGAACTTGATCTATAAAACCAAATATGTGAAGCCACACATCCTGGTGGTCTTGGGCAATGAACATATGGTAAGTCTGGTATTACACAAAACATTTTGATGCACTTGCCTGAGAAACAGTGAATTTCCTTTTTTCTGGACATCAACATCAAGACAAAATGGTAGGCCTCAAATGACCATCTTTGGAATCAAGCACTTCCTGAATACCATCTATGTAGCAGTCTGCCCTTATCTCTCCTGAATAGGTGTCTGTGTTCCTGAGTTCTCTTCACAGAGGGAGGCCAGTCTCCTCTTCCAAGCTAGTCACTTCCCTGCCTTCAACAGCCCCTTAATTATAAACTACCAGAAAGGGGGAGATAAAGGTAATCTTTACCACACCATTTGCACTTAACATTTGGTATAAAATCCCCTGCTCGTAAACCTCCAGCCTAAAAATGTTTGCAGGGATGAAGCAAAAAAAGCACCAGGCACCAGAAACATAAACCCCAAATGTTGTGTGTACAGACCCATTGTATAGCAGCTTGGTTACTGCCTTAAGATTTCTGCTACCACTTTAAGATTGTTGTTACTGCAACATCTTTAACAAATAAAGCATCAGATTAAAACCATCATTAGAAAGCTATTTGATTAATTTCTATTACTAGTATACAGGCTTGAGCAAAGGCATATCCAGAAGCAGGAAATCAAAAATTATTTGCTAAAAGTGAGGCATAATGGCTGAGGGATACCTTCTAACAGCCCCATGTTTTACTTTTTGATCCTGTTACCCCTGACCACAGATGACTGGTTCAAAGATAAACATCAGATGCAAGCTGGCCCAATCATAGTCTTCTTCCTAGGAACTTAAAATCTAAAATGGATAAAAATAAAGACTAAAAGTCATTGGGACATAACTGTTTTCTGGCAGTACTAGAGAGAGCAGGCCCACAATCACATTTTACTGAGTTCCCTGGGGGAAATTTGTTCTTAACCTCCTCCCTAAATTCTGTGAAATCCCCCAATATACTTCTAAAGTGTTTTTCTGGATAAGTGAGCAAGAGTCTATTTTTCTTGCTTACATGCAACAGAAAGGATATTCAATAACTAAACCCAATGAGGATCAGGAGAGCTAGTTACTTCTCAACATGTAGTCTGAAAACTGTTATCACTCAAAAAATATAAACAAACTAATTCCAAAGAGAAAGAAGGTACTCACAGATCCTTCTGGTGAAAGTAAACAAAAAACAAAAGAAATGAACATTCTCCTTGACTCAGGAATTCTAGATGATAAAATTTATCCTTCATAAACAACTGCATGAACATCCTTTGATGATTCATCAATTCTATTGTTAGATTCACTAAACTTATTGAGGTAATCATTTCACGATGTATGTAAGTCAAAACAGTATGTCAATTATATGTCAATAAAACTGGAAGAAAAAGTCTATCCTTAGAATTTATCCTACAAAAACACTTCAGCAAGTAGACAAAGATGCGTATAGAAATGCATACTTAATATTGTTTATAATAGTAAAAAGTTGAAAATAATATACACACATGTAAAAGAGGAATCTGATTAACTTATAGTACAGCCATACAATAAAATACTGAGTACCCACTAGAAAGGATGCAATAGGTCCATATCCACTGACACAGAATATATCTAGGCAGTTGTATGAAAAAAGCAAGAACAACATTCATAGGATACATAAATCCCCACCCATCACATAGAGATATACATTTACATTCATAGAAAAAAGTCTGGAAAGATATATATTACATGTTTAAAACTGATTCTCCTTGGAGAATGGTAACGGCTTTTATTTTCTGCTTTATTCATTTTTGTATTATAAAATAGAATGTATTACTTTTATAATCTAAGAAACAAAGTTTCTTTTAAGAAAACCATATAACAATGGAAAAAATATGAAGAGAAAATTAAGAGACCCTGTAAACAAAGTAGAAACCTTTACTGAGTGATAAGTTCAATATGATACACACACACACAAAGCATGGCTATATTTCAACATTAATAACTATGAGAATAAAATATTTAAAGAAAAGAGTAAGATTCTTACAATTCAGATTAACTTTATTAAAATACTAACAGTGTGATAAGATCTAAACTTAAATCAAATTGGACCATCACATTAATTAGCCCTAACTAATCACTGTTATAGATTAATGTTTTCTCTAGACACATTTATTATCTATCTAAAGACATGATTGGTTTCTTTCTAGAACGGTACTTACAGTTCTCTACAATTTCATCAAAAACTGCACCAGTTTTCTGCTCAAACTGAAAAAGCAAAAAAAGAAAAAGTAACATTATTATCATATCCTTCATTCATACCCTTTAGTGTCCCTCCTTGCTCTCCTTAGAGCTGTACTGTAATCTTCAACCCAAAGTATATGAATTCACAACAACATAAACAAAAACACCACCAAACAGAGTAAAGTAAAATTCAGAATGAATAAAACAGGTTCTCAGGCCAAAGCCCGCAACCCAAAAATGAAGACATAAATACATGCCCTCACTATAAAAAAGCTACTTATTTTATTTTTTTAAGGTTTTTTTTAAAAACTGAAGTATAGGGCTTCCCTGGTGGCGCAGTGGTTGAGAGTCCACCTGCCGATGCAGGGGACACGGGTTCGTGCCCTGGTCCGGGAAGATCCCACATGCCGCAGAGCGGCTGGGCCCGTGAGCCATGGCCGCTGAGCCTGCGTGTTCAGAGCCTGTGCTCCGCAACGGGAGAGACCACAACAGTGAGAGGCCCGCGTACCGCAAAAAAACAAACAAACAAAAAAAAAAAAACTGAAGTATAGTTGGTTTACAAGGTTTCAGGTGTACAAAAAAGTGATTCAAAAAGGCTACTTATTTTTCAAAAATCACTTTCCTATCACAAAATACAGAAGATCATATACTTTTGTAATAATAATAATAAAAAACACAGCCAACACTTACTGAGAACTTACTAACAACACTTATTATTAAGAACTATGTAAAACTTCTAATCAAAACTGAACAGAACGGGGCTTCCCTGGTGGTGCATTGGTTAAGAATCTGCCTGCCAATGCAGGGGACACGGGTTCAAGCCCTGGTCCATGAAGATGCCACATGCTGCGGAGCAACTAAGCCCGTGTGCCACAACTACTGAGCCTGGGCACTAGAGCCTGCAAGCCACAACTACTGAGCCCATGCGCCACAACTACTGAGCCTACACTCTAGAGCCCGTGCTCTGCAACAAGAGAAGCCACTGCAATGAGAAGCCCACGCACCCAACGAAGAGTAGCCCCTGCTTGAGGCAACTAAAGAAAGCCCGTGTGCAGCAATGAAGACCCAACGCAACCAAAAGTAATTAATTAAAAAAATAATAACTAAACAGAACAACCAGCATCAATAGGTTTTGCTCTTAGGCTAAAGCCAGAAGTCTGCTGCTCTTTAATATTTATTTATTTTTTGGCTGCGTCGGGTCTTAGTTGCAGCACGCGGGATCTTTCGTTGTGGCACTCGGGCTCTTCATTGCGGTGCACGGGCTTAGTTGCCCTGTGGAATGTGGGATCTTAGTTTCCTGACCAGGGATCAAACCAGCGTCCCCTGCATTGCAAGATAGATTCTTAACCACTGGACCACCAGGGAAGTCCCTCTGCTTCTCTTTAAATGAAAGTAAGCCATATTACAGGAATGGTTCCTTTTTGAGTATGTTAGGGCCCAAGACAGAAGCAGAGCCAAGTCTGACGTAATTTCAGGCCTTTAAAACAGACATAGGGGGGAAAATAGTAAAGCAGCGGCAACTCCACCCAGAAGTTAATAAAGACACTACTAGTATGTTTCACTCCTAGTCTTCAAAGGTCTCCTCACTTTGGCAAGTTTGAGCATTCCAATCTCCTGCTTCTCTACCTACTACTCATCAATGAGGCAAAAACAGAAACAAGTCAGCTTTGTGATAAACCTTGCCTACTAAGCTAGAGTGAAATCTCCCCATTCAAGGGAAAAACTTCAGGGAAAAAGAACTACCTATGTAACTACAGATGAAACACAAAACGACAGCTAGCTAACACTCATAAATGTGAACAGACAACCGAGGATCCCAGGTTTCTGAAAGAAATTAACTATGGGAAAGAGAAGGCTCAAGGTGAATTAACAGAATAACCACTCCAGAAGGAAACAATTTACAGAAAACAAACTTCTAAAAAATATTTTAAGTGGTATCTGAGATATGTGAGAGGCTACTGATACAAAAAACTAAACATCAGAAAATATTTAGATAGGCCATGAAAAGGAGACATGAGAAAATATTTGGAAACAAGAGAATGGCAGCAAAAATAAAAATCTTATTGGCCAAGCTAACGACAGAGTTCTCAGTTTCCAAAAAACAAAAAGTCAAAGAGTTGGAAGATACTTTATATGAAAACATGGAAGATTAAACGATTAGGTGTAACAGAAATCTCAAAGGCAAATCCAAAGAAGAGAACAATAGACAGGTGAAATAATAGAAGAAAATTTCCCTGAACTAAATAAATGAATATTTGAGGTTGACTGGGTCCACCAAATAACAAAGAGAAAGCGAAAAAAAAGATACATCCTGGTGATATTTCAGAGTTTCCAAAAGCAAACAAAAAGAGAAAAAAAATTATAGTGCAGGTGATTCATTAAACACAGTTAACATAACTGAATTCAATGATATGAACACTGAAAAGGAAAGCAAAGAAAAGAAATTGTAAAGGCTATTCTACCTACCATTCCACTCAATGAGCTATGTTCTAGAATAAAAGGGAAATGGGAGATGTGACTGCAAGCCAAAGAATGAAAGCACTTGTCTGCACTGAAAGGGATCTGAGGGTGGTAGGATGAATTGGAAGATTGGGATTGACATATATACACTACTGATACTACATATAAAATAGATAACTAATAAGAACCTACTGTACAGCTCAGGGAATTCTACTCAGTCCTCTGTGGTGACCTAAATGGGAAGGAAATCCAAAAAAGAGGGGATATATGTATATGTACAGCTGATTCATTTTGCTGTACAGTAGAAACACAACATTGTAAAGCAATTATACTCCAATAAAATTTTTAAAAATATGTAAGAAAAAAAAGAAAGAAGGGGATCCAAGTGTTTGAAGATAATGCACTTTTTGTACAATACTGCCTTTCTTTTTTCTGGTGATGAAAATGTTCTAACGTTGATGTGGCTGCACAACTGTGAAAATACAGCTACTGAATTATGCACTTTAAATGGGTGAACTGCATGACATATGAATTACATCTCTATTAAGCTGTTTTAAAAACACATTGAGAAAAATACTTCTATGACGTTTAGGTATTAAAAACCAAAAGGCACTACTGAAACAAGATTAACAGAGAGATGTTATGTGGGCATATACCAGTATTTTTTAAAGAATAATTTTTAAAATATACATTCAAATGTGTTAAATAAATAATGTTTAATACAGTGAAGTCCCTCAAGTACAATTTCCTGTGTGATGAGGTTACCTCATTTTAGTGCTAACCTCTTTATGTATTTGAACTTCTTGATAAGGCAGAGCATCAATTAGGGGAGAGTCTGTCTTTGACTCATTTTGATTTTGTTGTTGTTTTTTTTTCTTCTTTAAAAATCCTTTTTATTTTATATTGGAGTATAGTTGATTTACAGTGTTGTGTTAGTTTCAGATGTACAGCAAAGTGACTCAGTTATACATATACACATATCTATTCTTTTTCAAATTCTTTTCCCATACAGGTTACCATAGAGTATTGAGTAGAGTTCCCTGTGCTATATAATAGGTCCTTGTTGATTATTTTATATATAGTAGTATGTATGTTAATCCCAACCTCCTAATTTATGCCTCCCACCCACCTTTCCCCTTTGGTAACCTTAAATTTGTTTTTGAAGTCTGTGAGTCTCTTTCTGTTTTGCAAATAAGTTCATTTGTTTCATTCTTTTTGTTTCCACATATAAGTGATATCATATGATATTTATCTTTGACTTACTTCACTTAGTAAGATAATCTCTAGGTCCATCCATGTTGCTGCAAATGGCATTATTTCATTCTTTTTTAAAACGGCTGAGTTATATTCCACTGTATATATGTACATCTTCTTTATCCATTCATCTGTTGATGGTCATTTAGGTTGCTTCCATGTCTTGGCTATTGTAGATAGTACTGCAGTGAACATTGGGGTGCATGTATCTTTTCAAATTATGGGTTTTTTCCAGATACATGCCCAGGAGTGGGACTGCTGGATCATATGATAGCTCTATTTTTAGGTTTTTAAGGAACCTCCATACTGTTCTCCATAGTGGCTGTACCAATTTACATTCCCACCAACAGTGTAGCAGGGTTCCCTTTTCTCCACACCCTCTCCAGAATTTATTATTTGTAGAATTTTTGAGGACGGCCATTCTGACTGGTGTTAGGTGATACCCCATTGTAGCTTTGATTCACATTTCTCTAATAATTAGTGTCGTTGAGCATCTTTTCATGTGCCTGTTGGCCATGTATATGTCTTCTTTGGAGAAATGTCTATTGAGATCTTCTGCCCATTTTTTGATTGGGTTGTGTGTTTTTTTGAGTTTTTATTTGTTTTAATTCAAACCTGCTGGTGAGTACTCACTTAACATTGCCCAAGCAGGTCACACTAACATCACTCTCAATTATGGACTCCATCAGGACTCCAGAACACCTGCTTGGCCTATAATCTAACCAATGGGGTGTCAACAAATGTACAAGTAATAAGACTTAGCTTTGTTACAATATAATGATTTCGCTAAATATGTTTGGGTGCTTCTTGTCCAGCCTGTATATTTATAAATAAGAAATTAGATACAAATAGTAATTTAGCTTTGAAATTAATGTACTACTCATCACTCAAGTTTCATGAAAGATTTAATTGGACTTAAAAGCAAAGCTGACTTCGGGACTTCCCTGGTGGCGCAGTGGATGAGACTCCGAGCTCCCAACGCAGGGAACTGAATCCCACATGCATGCCGCAACTGAGTTCACATGCCACAACTGAGGACCCCACATGCCACAACTAAGTAGCCCTGGAGCCACAACTGAGGAGCCCGTTTGCCACAATTAAGACTTGGTGCAACCAAATATTTTTTTAAAAACCCATAATAAATATTTTGTATGGGCAAGGATTTTCTCAGTACTACAAAACCTAAAATTAAAATTAAAAACATAAATGAATACAGATATTAATTTAGGACAAAAAATTACTGGTTCATTTTTAGTTATCAAAATAGTCTCATAGGTTCTACCCATTCAAAACATATAACTGTTCATATT